TTCCTGCTGCACCATTAAGTAGATGGTGAAGATAACATTACTGTGCATTCACATGTTTTACCTTTGGTGTAATGTAGTTAAATTTACTTGCTGGCTGTATGCGACTGTTGTGGCAGCACCAATAAGAAACCTAATATTGAGTTTCTGTGTTTGGCTTTAAAAAAAAAAAAAAAGTCTATCCTTTCTTTCAGATTCCTTAACTCTAAGCCAGTGGTTCTCAATCAGGAAGCTGCAACACCCTGGGGTGCTGAGAGATTCTTTCAAAGGTGCTGCCACGTACCATGCTATGTTAGCACTGTTAGGTGTACAAATATGACTTACAAAGTAAACTCGGATTTCAAATGGGAACTTATGCTGGCAAAACATTTTGACTTGTACCTCTAAGTTCTTTCAAGTGCTGTTGCTTCCACCCCCCCACCCCCTGGCTTGTCTATGATGAATGAAAACTGAGCTGCCACTTCCTGAGGGGTGCCTTGAGCTTTCAGAGGTTGAGAACCACTAAGTTAGGCTATACATTTGAAAATTTCTTTATCATCCTCCCCCTGCTCTATCTACCTCTTGGAAGAGAGTCCTGGGCATAATAGTAAATCTGAAACTATCAATTAAATATGCATGGGAGCTTGCAATGTTACTGCTGTTTCTTACATGAAATCTAACTTGTGCTTTCTTAATTCTTTAGATTCCCTTTTTGAGTGTACTCTCAATTCCTCAAAATTAGAGGTTTAAACACTTATGCATTTGATTTTCTTACTTTATCCTTGTGCCTGCATGAATCTGTTTTTGTTCTTTTCTGTGGCTTTTCAACAAGTAGCAGTTACATGGTAAGCACTTGTCTTTAAAGATGAACCTCAAGTGCAGGTAAATACTTAACTGAAATGGAGAAGCAAGGTTGGAGCTGTCTGGGAAGTACCAATATAACATGTTCATGAGTGCCAAAGTCCTAATAGCCTTGGCACTTTTGGAAACAATTTAGCTTCTAAGGCATTTAAGTTTGTTTGTTTGCTTTTGTTTTTGAAGATTCTTTTTTCATTAAAGAATAAAATTAAGCCTCACTTTCTAACTACTTAAGTGTGTTGAGTTGTTAGTTGGTGCTTAGTTCAAGTGGTATGGAAGGAGACCTTCAGAATAGCAATAGGGTGTGTGCTAAGGGCTGCTCAGTCCTTGTTACCAAATTAGTGGGCTTTGGTGCGTGTAAAGTGGGCATAAGTAGGTGGGGTTTATTTCCTTGGTAAGGAAGATTTTTATTTATTTATTTATTTTTTAAACTATGGCAGTTTCCAGGAATGGTCTCAATTGTAAGAGGAAGGTTTTCTTCTTTTTTTAAGCCAGTCGCTTGAACCAACTTCCTACTCCTGTTGTCCTTGTAGGAACACTGTTCAAGTCTATCCTTGATGGAGTTGTCAAGATGGAGTCCTTGTCTCCTAGATGAACGTTTACTGTAATTCACTTGATCCGGTATCTTTTTACTCAAGTAAACTTACTGGGGTAGGGGTGAATTTTGCCTTAACAAGGTCTGCAAGATTGGACCTTTAACTGTTTGCCTCTCCTGCTTTTCCCTTTTCTAACTTCACATCTTTTATTTTCCATATTTGAAAAACAGAAACAATGATACTGACTCTGTTAAAGTGCTTTCTGATATAAAGCTAGACAGCATTATGTCTGAACAGCCAGATAATACATTTAGTCAACATTTTGTGTCTGGTAATTCTCATCTGAGGACTTTTCTTTACAAAACTGCATTTTATGCCCCAGCTGTCTAGGTGGGTCTCTGTCTAGCCAAATGTCTACAAACCTGTCTAGGTTAACTAGGCTTTGAACAATGCCATGGCATACATGAACAAAACAATGGCATTCCTCAGCAGTATTAAAGGAATGAGATATTACATGACTTGTAAATGAATTGCATTGTTGGAATAAGGCTTTAAAAAATCCCTTCTGTTAGGACACTGGCAGTCTACACATAGTGTAGAAGATCTGTTGGAGGTACCAGAGAGAATATCAGCCAGGATAAAAGGAAGCTACAGTGGGGAATGAGAAAGCAGCCCTCTGTACAGAAGAGTCAGGGCTGAGTGCCAGCAGGCAAAGAATTGATTAACTGATCCAGGGTGCAAGCCTTATTTCTTGCACCTTGGTGGCAGCCGGCCTTCAGAGAAAGCTGCGCTAGTTTGCGCTGCTGATCTAAAGGGTGTTAACTCGATTTACCATGAGGTTACACTCACCCTGCCCCTCTGGGCCTAATCCAGACCATGGTGGTAGCAATCATGGGTATTAACAGCCATGGCTTGCCTCCCTGCCAGTGATGTGCATGGCCAATGAGATTCTGTGTCCCAGATTTTGGCGGGTCCTGCCCCTGCTTGCCTTTCCTCCAAATCCACAAGCCCTAAGAGCTATGCAACACAGCTCCATGGGTTGGATCTGCCTGGCAAACCCCAGGTTTGATTCCCCTGACTTGCATGAGAAATAGTTAAATGTTCTATATCTTACCTTGCCCTAACCCTGGTATCTTCAAGTGAAAATCCATTCTCATCTGTATTATGGCACTCCAGCAGGATTTAAAATTTTTTTTTTTGGTTGCTAACAGGGCTTCATTTTCTTCCTAGTAATGATGATACCACAGTATTTCAAAATCAGAGTAGTTATTCAATGGACTAGTAAAAATGAAACGTTCACCATGCCTTGTTTGTTATATCCAGTTTTATAAATCCCCTTACTGTAGTATCTGATGTTTTGCAATGTAATGGACTAAATGCCATCAAGAGAACATGATCTTAAATTAGATCATCTAAAGCTAATGTCTGGTGGGAATGAAGCCAAGAACAATTTAGTCATTACATGCTTGTAGTATTCA